CTTTATGTATGTCCTCTTACTTTGTTCAGTTCTGGAGTTGCACTGTAAGTTGGGGGTGGTACTTTTTACAGTTTTGAGATTTACTTAAGGGGGGAGCTGTGATTCAAATTCTATCTACAGGTCCTGGTATTCACTGATAGGTATATGGATAATCTGAAACCCACTTCCCACTGCCTTGAATCTGCTGTAGGTTTACCCCCTAAAATAAAATGTGGATAGCAGAGGGAAGAGAATGGAGCAGACAGTGGGGAGAAGTGGGAGGTGGAGAGAGGGTAGTAAGGGGGGGAAAAGATGAGTGTATCAACAAATGGAGAGAGAGACCTAAACTGTAACAGATAAAAAGAATAGACCACGGCTACAGACTAACCAGCTCCCATACAAAAAAATACAATGATGCTAACATATAAGCTAACCAACCACCTTATTGGTGTGCTGTTCTTCTATACAAAGATATGGTAGCTGGGCTTGGTGGCTCAGCCTGTAATCCTGCACCTTTGGGAGGCTGAGGTGAGTGGATTGACTGAGCCCGTGGGTTTGAGACCCACCTGGGCAGCGAGACCTCATCTCTACAATAAATCAAAAAAAATCAGCTGGGTGTGGTAGCGCACGCCTCTAGTTCTGGCTACTCGGAAGGCTGAGGTGGAAGGATTGTGGAGCCCAGCAGGTCGAGGCTGCGGTGGCCGGGAGCGGCCTCTGCATGCCAGTATGGGCAACAGAGTGAGACTTCAACTAAAAAAAAAAAAAACTTATTTGAGGCGAGGGCTTCCAGGCTGTAATGAGTTATGATCACATCTGTGAGTAGCCTCCTACTCCAGCTTGGGCAGCATAGTGAGACTCTGCTTCTGAGGGGAAAAAAAAGTTTATCAGTAATTTCTGTAACAAAACCAAAAACCACTCACTCATGCCCTACTCCTTTAGGATCTTGCCAGTGCATAATTAGTACCAAAAGGTTAATTTGTGAAACTCATTTTTGCTGATTGACTGACTACCTTATGAGATGTTCTCCCCATGTAATTACCCATATATCCAGAAGCAAAGGCGGGAATTTGGGAACCCAGGGACAGCAGCAGGGAAAACATTTTTGGAAAGAGAGTCTTATCCTCACCATGGAGTAATCAGTTGCTTGGAACTTGATCCCCGTGCTGAGCGGCAAGTCCTAAGTGATCTTTAAATAGATCTGCAGATCCAGAAGCATTCAGCACGTGGGAACCAGGAAACCCAAGTATCTCAGGTATCCCCAACTAAATGCTTCTGCTGCTTCTCAGGCAGTCTTGTCTGAGTTTTGTCGGGGCCTCTTCAAACTAAGCTTTACTTATCACTGCAGCAAAAAATAATGCTGAGCTAAAAATCTAAAACACCAGTTCTTGTTCACAGTCTTTTTTTCCTTTCACTGTCTTGGGAAGTACAAGAACTCTCAGGTTCATTTAAAAAAATTTTTTTTGTTTTAAAGATGTGGGGTACAATTCAGGGTTAGGTATACAAATGTTCATCATGCAGATACCCTTGTTGATGAGGTGTGCCCCCTCTCTCCCTACTACTGCCAATACCGCCCCCCTTCCCCCGCAGTTTCCCACTACTGTCAATTCTTTTCTTACAGTATTACGAGAGTTGTTCAAGGTCTGCTTATGAGTGAGAACATGTGATACTCAGTTCTTTGTTTCTGTGATAGATCACTCAGTATTATAGACTCTAAGTCCAGTCAAATAGGTTCATTTTTACAGTCTTCAAATGGGAACACAAATAATTGCCCTGTCTACTTCTTAAGTTTATTACTGGGATGAAATAAAATATCTGCAAATGAAAAGATTTTGAAAAACAGAACCATGCTATATCAATGTAAAATATACCAAATTTTATTAATTTTGCTGGCAACTTTTATGCCTTGTGACTGTCCATTCCCAAGGCATTAGGATTTTAAACTAGAAGTCCCTGAACCACTTTTTTCTTTTTTCTTTTTTTTTAGTTGGGGTCTCACTCTGCTGCCTGGCTAGGGTGCAGTGGTACAATCATGGCTCACTGCAACCTTGACCTTATAGACTCAAGCAGTCCTCCTGCATGAGTCTTCTGAGTAGTTGAAACTATAGGCATGCGCCATTACACCTAATTTAAACAAACTTTTTTTTATAAAGATGAGGTCTTATTATGTTACCCAAGCTGGCTTCAAACTCCTGGGCTTAAATGATCCTCTAGCCTCGGCCTCCCAAAGTGTGGGATTACAGGCATGAGCCACGGTGCCTGGCTTTCAGAAGTTTTCTTACATGCCAACTGTGTTCTCCCCTTCATCTGGCTTAGCTCCCTGTATCTCCTCTCTCTTGCTGTGGCCATGTCACCGGTTCTTTTTATAAAGGTTTTTGCAGTGGACCCTAGACACCTAGCAGCAGAGAAGGAGGCCTTTGCCGAACTGTGGCCTTAAGACCGGGGTAGCAGGCTTCCCTTTGCAGGGGTTCATGCCTTTCCAGTTCTAACTCTGCCTCTTCCCCAGGAGTGTGGCTGTGAACAAGGGGAGGCTGAAGAGGCTGGGAATCACCCACATTCTGAATGCTGCTCATGGCACCGGTGTCTACACTGGCCCTGAATTCTACACTGGCCTGGAAATCCAGTACCTGGGTGTGGAGGTGGATGACTTTCCAGAGGTGGACATCTCCCAGCATTTCCGGAAAGCTGCTGAGTTCCTTGATGAGGCACTGCTGACCTACAGAGGTAAGGGGTCAACCCACTCCAGGATCCACAGGGAGGGAAAAGTCGTGTGAAGAGTGTTGGATGACAGAGTTATCTGTCATGTCAGGAGGGCATCTCTCTTAAGGCTGTTTTCTCTAAAAAGAAGAGAAAGGACAGAATAATCTAAAAAGAGGAGAAAGGACAGTAAGTAATTACTGAGGGCTTCACGTGTCCTAGGAGCCTTTCTAGGCATTGTAAGGAAAGAAACAGTGAAGTGTCTGTCCTTTGAATCTTACTCTGTAGTGAGAGGGGAGAAAATGAAAAAAAGAGAAACGTTCAATGGTGTGAGGCGGGGACAGTTACCCCGATGATGCGCTAGAGTGACTGCTAGCTCCTTGCAGAGGGGTGGAGAAGGCTTCTGACCCTGGGACATATAAGACAAGTGACATGACAAAAAGCCAGGCCTGGAGCAACTGGAAGAGGAGCACTCCTGGCCAAAGGAACTACTAGTGCAAAGATCCTAAAGTGGAATAAATTTGGCGTGTTCAGGAATCAAAAGTCTACAAAGAGGTCAGGCACCGTGGCTCAGGCCTATAATTCCAGCACTTTGGGAGGCTGAGGTGGGAGGATTGCTTGAGCCCAGGAGTTTGAGACCAACCTGGACAGCATAGTACAACCTCATCCTTTCAAAAAATAAAAAAATGAGCTAGGTGTGGTGGCCCGCACCTGTAGTCCCAGTTGTTCTGGAAGCTGAGGCGGATGGATCACCTGAGCCCAGGAAGTCGAGGTTGTGATAAGCCATGAGCTTGCCACTGCATTCCAGTGGGTGTGGATTGGAGCAGCAGGGGTCAGGAAATTAAAGGCCAGGGTAAGGCTGACTTATGTTTTAGAAAACTCCGGGCCTCTGCTTTGGAGAACAGAGTAGGGAGGGACTAGAACAGGGCTGAGGCTATTGTAACCAAGTGAGAGGCGACAGGAGACTAGTCTACAGAGTCCACAGGCCTGAGTCTCAGGTAGTAGAGGGTGGAGCCGGCACAGCTGGGCCGGTAAGAATTCAAGATCTGGTGTCCAGAAGCTTGAGTTTGAGTCTGGGATTTGCTACACTCTGAATACCATGTGACCTTGGGCCATTTCCTTTACCCCTGGAAACCCAGTTTCCTTATATAGAGAACAAAGATAAAAATACCAAATCTTAAAGTTGCTGCGAAGAATACAATTTTTAAAATGCATCTAAAAGAACTTACTTGGCACAACACCTGGCACATAATACATGCTTTAAATATTATAGCCATGGTTATAATATTGTTGATGGTTCCTGGGAAGGGCATTGCCTGCCACTACCAATGGCCAGGATGGCTAACTTCTGATGGAAGATACACATACATAATATTTGTGTGTGTGTGCATGTGTTTGGGCAAATTTTATAAATATAAATAAAAAATTGTCTCCCCATTTCAACGCTTAAAAATCACTACTTTTAGAAATGTAGGACTCCTGACGGAGTGGGATTGAGCGTGTCTGTCCAACGTCGGTAGTAGAGAGAGCTCGTTCTACCGCTCCCCCTGGGCGGGCCTGAGCCGGGCGGGTGCGGTATAGACGCGCACCGGCCGTTCCTCGCAGGTTCAGGGCGGGTGTGGCCGGTCGCAGAGGGTGGGACGCGCTTCCAGAAGCGAGAGCCCACCGGATAGTGGAGGGAGGACGCGAGGGACGCGAAGACAAGGCGGCGCGGCGGCGGCGGAAGGGCGCGGGTTCCCGAGGGCGCTTCCCGTGGGTGTGACGGGGACCCGCCCCGCCCCCGCA